TTCTCAGGGTCGCGCTGTCTCCTGGCACGGCCGCTCCAGACCCGTCGCCATCTTAAAGTCCAGATTCTTATTTTTAAAAGATTGTGCCTATAATTAGAACAAATCTCCAATATCACTTTCATTGACTTCATGAACTCCTGCATCTTTGCAAGATTTGCAACTTCACTTTGCAATAGGCTATGTGTACTGGAGTAAGAGACTGACCCACCAGTAGTCAAAGGGCAGAGCTGAGGTTAAGAAAAGAAAGAGTTTGAGTAAGGATTCATTTTACAGGTGACTGGTTCCTTTATGAATTTTTTCACATGATGCAAATTTTTGATTCCTTACATAATCTCATAAACTCTGATACTTGGATACTAAATAACTGAAGAAAAGGATTCCCTGAAAACAGCATTTGGAAACAATAAACTGGAATGATTAAGTAAATCATATTACATCTATACTGTGGATACTGGAGTTAAATTAATAAAAGCACTCTATATATTTTGATAGAAAAGATGACTAAGATCACTAAGATATTTTGTGAGTGAAGGAAAGTTGCAGAATAAAATAAAGATATGGTACAATCCCTGCATTTTCTTCATAATGTGTTTAACATTTGGGAGAAATATCTGGGAAGGGAAATAAGACCCCACAGGAACATTCATTTTTTATTCCATACATGTCTATGTACTTCTGTAGTGTTTCATTCCTTTACAAAGAACACATATTTATGTACTACTTATATAATTAAAATTTGTAAATCATTAAGTTTATTAAAATAAAAGTTAAAGGGTAGAAAGATAAAAAAAAAGTAAGAGAAAATAAATGATAGATAAACCAGATGCAAAAAATATAAATAAGTGAAAATGAAATATAAAAATGTCAACAAAGGGCAACTATAAAACCAGAGTATAAAGTATAAAAGCTAAGAAAAAATAAAACAATGAAAATGTAGTTAGAATAAAAAGGTAGAAGAGACACTATAAATGATGAGAGAAAGAAGTTCAAGGATAAAACAAAGCAAATTAAAAGTTTAAAAATGAGCAAATTTATAGACAAGGGAATATGTCATTATATTAAATTTACTTTTTATTAATTGACACATAATTGTGTATATTTATAGGGTGCATTGTGATATTTGAGTGCATGTGTAAAATATGCGATGATTACATCAGAGTAATTAACATATCCATCACCTCAAACATTCATTTGTTTGTGCTGGGAATATTCAAAATCTTCTCTACTAGCTATTTGAAATTATAGAATAAATTGCCATTAACTGTAGTTGCCATATAGTGCCATAGAACACTAGAGCTTATGCTTCTTATTTATCTGTAATTTTATATCCATTGACCACACTCTCTCCCCCTCCAACACTTGCTAGTCTCTGGAACCACTATACTACTCTCTTCTTCTACGAGATCAACTTTTTAAGCTTCTACGTAGAAAAATATAAGGTAGAAGTCCAGAATCAAAAGCTCAGCATCATCTTCAGAAATAATAATTCTTCACATGTGGAATTTTAGATTTCCTGAACATACGTTGTTCAGAGCATTTGGAGTTTCTTGCAAGATGTTCACAGCGGATTGTCTCAAATACAAAGGGCAGAACAGAATGCCCAGCTCCACATCGCTGTGAAGACCTGTCCATCACTAGCCCAATTCCTCTCAGACATTTGCAGAGATGCTCATAAATCTTTGAAGGGATCCTACTAGCCCCCTTCCCTGATTGCAAGCTTGACCCATCTTCTACCTTCAAAATTGTTCTATTACCTCTGTCATTTCAGATCTTTGACTTTTCTCTCACTGAAGAAGAAATGAAGGAGATTGAAGCCTTGAACAGAAATGTCCGCTTTGTGGAACTGCACATGTGAGTTCTTGGGGATCATTAATCGGGTACTGCCCAGTTGTGTGGGATTGTCAAGCATCAACCAACTGGGATCATATGAACCCTGACCTATGTCCATAGAAAGCATAGAGTAAAAGATGGTGGGTGGCATGTTCTGAATATTAAACATGCCTGGATGAAATACATCCATTATAGGAACTTCCAACAACCCTACACTGTTTTTTAAAAGAAGAGTCCTGGCATTTATGACATTCCATGACCTAGGTTAAGGCAAGCTAAGAACCTTGAGGATAATTGACTCATAATGTACATATGTTTAAACAACAAGAGAACAAATATTGAAGCAACATTATTTACTTTTTCCTATAAAACAAAGTGATGCACAAATGAGACCAAAGTCGTCAAACAAGAAACAATTGCTGGGAGAGAAGTATGATGACGTAGGAGAAAGAGCACGAAGTCAGGGACCAAGAACTGAGAATTTTGTTTATTTTTGTTTGTTTGTTTGGAGAGAGGGTGGTTGGCAGCTGGCAGTGCAGGAAAGAATCTAAAATTTTAGACTAATACTTTCTTGCCTTATAAGATTTGGAGCTTCTAGCGCCACCTGCTGGCTGACTTTCCACAAACAGAATTCCTTACACTCCTATGTTGCCAAGTTCAGCTAGCCACCTGAAGGAGTCCTTTAGTCTCTAAATATTACGGGTCCTTTAAAATAAAAAATAATCGGGCCGGCCCGGTGGCGCACTGCTACAGTGCGCCACTTGGGAGCATGGCGGCACTCCCGCGGAGGGTTCGGATCCCACATACAGATCGGCCGCTCACTGGCTGAGCGAGGTGCGGGTGCAACACTGAGGGTTGCAATCCCGTTGCCGGTCCCGGTCCGGTACCGGCACGACACTGAGGGTTGCGATCCGTTGCCGGACATGAAAAAAGACAAAAAGTAAAAAAAATAATAATAATAAAATAAAAAATAATGTAATTTATATATACATACACAAACATATATGGATATCAGTATACACACAGTATTTTTTTTTTCTTAACCATTCTCCATTAGTCTTTCCAATTCTTCAAATCTGCTGGATAGTTATCTTCTTTTTGGTGATCTTGTCCTTAACTGAGCAATTTAGAAAATGTTCATTAAGATGCTTCATATAGTTTGGACATTTATCTTATTGGTTCCACTGTTTTTCATGAGTCGGAAAGTGCTCTGACTGGGCTAATTTTGAATTTCTGAATTAATAAAATAGAGTTCCGATGTGAATTTTCCAGGGGGAAAATTGTTTGACATCAAAAGTTACACCCAGCCTTAAGAACAAGAGTAAATGCAAACACGTAATGCGTTGCCAAAACCAACAAGCAGTTCTGGGTCAATTAATAATTCTTGAAGACAAATGATTTCTATTGAACAAATGTCATTAAGTTAAGAAAAGATAGTAAGACATAATCAGTATACCAATGTACTGACTTTTTTACAGTTAGTTGGTGACATTACTTGCTAACATATTTAATACCAATTCTAGCAACACTGGGGGAAAAAAATAACTAATCGTACCAGGAAATAACTAGAAAAGTCAACAAGGTAAAACAAAGATTAGGCCCCACTAATCAAAAAACTGTATCATTTAGGGCTATGATTCTTTTCTGTTTTTCATTCAGTTGATCTTTGACATTTGGGAGCCTTTTTTGTTTTATATTTTAATTTTGATTTAAAGTTCATGGTACTTGCAGAGAATTGAATCTTAGATGTGTTCCATGACAGGAATACACACACACACACACACACACACACACACACACACTCTAGACCTTTTATAGACGGTTTCACCACTGCTGTTTAAGAGATAAGTTCATCATCAAACTTGCTTTGCTTGTCATCACCTTTCTAGATCTCAAACTTTCAACACTTGGGAAGTCTAGCAAGAGGGGCAAATAAAAATTCCAATGAAGAGAAATAAGACTTTTGGAGAGAAATGCTCGTGTAGTTCATTGGAGTGAGAGGCACCCAGTATCAAGACAGCAGAAGGAAGGAAGGAGTTGGGAAGGGGCATGTCAACGTAGGCAGGCGTGACTTGGTGTGACTCCAGTGTTTTGGTTTTTGTTTGGGCAGCTGGACTTTAATGTTATTGGCACCACGTTCTAACCAAGTGAGCTAACCGGCCAGCCTTTTTTTTTTTGGCAACTCCAGTGTTTTTGCTCTGAGTGAAATGTTCATGTAGTGGCAACCAACCTTCACATATACATACACTCACAAACTCACAGTCACACCCAGGATGTTGTCCAAAGCTTTGGGAAAAGATGCTAGATTGAGGGAAAACAAGAGAGAAAAGTGGGTAAGGGGAAAGAGCAGAAGAGAATAATTAGTGAAATTATCGAAGGATGCTGGGAACACATACAGCTCTTGGAGTGAACTTTTTGTCTTTGGGGGAATTGTTTTGGCAGGTGGCGTGATCATCCTGAATACCCATTTCATGATGAATACTGACTTCAGAGAGTTGCTGAACAGATTTTTCCCTCCCATGTGTGCTACGACCTTGGGCTGGGTGGTTCCCACATATATGAAAATGAAAGGGTTTTTACTATCCTCAGATGAAGTGATGATGGAAACATGCTTCACTTTTGTGTAGTGTAAGTGACTTTGACTTGCTATGTTAAAGAGAAAATGTTTAAATCTGTTGAAATAATTCTTTGGAAATTATCAGCTAATATTTTACTAGATAGATGTCTTCTAGGCTCCAGGCAGAAAAACATTAAACTTTATAAAAGATATCAAAAGCAACATATGAACACAAATAACTCAGGAATCTGAGTGCTACCATTGGTAGTCTGAGTTCTTTTGCAGTTTACAGAACGAGAAAAAGGCTGGAGAGCCAGCATGTGCCAGCATCCTGGCAGTGGCCTTGATGGTTTAGACCATTGGTGGTAATATATACATAGCCAGGATAAGATCCACACATGCATTACCAAGAAGGAAATGTTTTTCTGCGCCTTGAGTAAAGAGAGAGGCCTAAGTGTAGAAAAGTCTTAAAATAGAGCTAATTAAATACCACTGTGGTCAATAAAGCTGTAATGATTTTATTGTTGTTGTTTGTTTCCATCCAATGTGTGTTTGTTCTGCTTTTATACTGCCTCAAGGATGGATAATTACTGGTCCTCTCTTGCATCCTTTCGAGGGCCTGATTGTCAACATAACTGGTGACCCATACGTGCCCTGTCTTTTCATCACTTTTTCCCAGGTTCATCCTACAGCACCATTGTGTGAAGTGGCTTAAAACAACCAACATACACAAATAAAACTCTGAATTGCAAAATAATCCAAAGATGGTATATTCTAAACAGTCATTTAAAAGGGAGGCTTTAGGAAACATTGGAAGAAGAGGCTTAATGAAATTATTATGCTTAAGACTTTAAGAAAAAAAAGAGAAACTAAGACTCTAACAGTATTATTGGGATAGCTATGTACATATTGAGAAAGTAGCAAGCTCGAAAGAACACTGGTGATTTTACTTTATGTAAATTTTTAAAAAGTGAATAAGAAGATTATTAGAATTTAGCAATAGAGGTATACCTATTTCCAGTTCAACTAGAGAAATAGATTTTATTCATTCGCATTAGGTCACTCTCACAGTGTGAAAGAGTTCTTCAAAAATTGTGTTTTTCTAAGACCAATTGTTTGTAGATAATTTTCCGTGACCTGAAGACATACATTTCTGAGAAATTATCACCCTAAAAAATTTGATTTATATTTGTCATTTCCACTGATTTCAATATTAATACTGATAATGCTGTCCTCTGTAAAATATTTTGTTCACAAGAAATAATAAAGTATGATGATTTGTTCTACCACATAAATCTCCATTCTGTTTCTACGGTGGAGGGAGGGGCAGAATCATCTGAAGCCTATTATATTAAAAGGCCTTTGATCGAGTTCCTACTGGGACTGAGTTTAGCACTGGGAAGAGAGGGAACAAAAAGAGGTACCATCATGAAAAAAAACAGAACCTTGAGTCATGATCCCTGTGGTCAAAGCCCTTCCGAATTCCTCTAGGATGCTGGCATGGAGGTGGAAATAGAGACAGCACCTATGAAACCATTTTTAAAAGGCAGGCATTGGAAAGGAGTTCCATCATTTGTCAAGGAGAAAAACATTTCTAAAGATTAGAGGAGGGTAATCCTCTCTCAGTCACAACAGAGACAGGGGAAAAAGAGTAGGAGACAGAAAATAGGAGGGTCAAGAAAGAACAGTTTGATAAGAGATTCCGCAAGTCACTTCTCCCTGCTCTCTCACCTTCTCAAGATTCCCATCTGTTATGGGATGAATTGTGTCCCCCAAAAATTCAGATGTAAAGTTCTAGCTCCCTGTGCCTCAGAATGTGACCTTATTTGAAAATAGGGTCATTGCATATGTAATTAAGTTCAGATGAAGTCACACTGGAGTAGGGTGAGCCCTAATCCAATACAACTGATATGCTCATAAAAAAAGGGAAATTTAGACACAAACAACACACAAGAAGAACACCATGTGAAGATAAAGGCAGAGATCACATGATGCATCCACAGCCAAGGAACCCAAAGATTGCCAGCAACCACCAGAAGCTGGAAGAGGCACAGAACAAATTCTCCCTGGGCTGGCCCATGGCTCACTTGGGAGAGTGTGGTGCTGATAACACCAAGGCCACGGGTTCGGATCCCATATAGGGATGGCCCGTTAGCTCACGGGGTGAGCGTGGTGCTGACAACACCAAGCCAAGGGTTGAGATCCCCTTACCGGTCATCTTTAAAAAAAAAAAAAAAAGAACAGATTCTCCCTCACAGCCCTCAGAAAGAATAAACTCCATTGACACATTGATCTTATACCCTCCAGAATTGTGAAACAATAAATTTCTGTTGGTTAAGCCACCCAATTTGTGGTATTTTGTTATGGCAGCCCTACAAACTAATATGTCATCCCTCAGTAAAGATTTCCAATCTCTCCAGCTGACATCAGCAGTAAAAATAGCCTTACTTAGTCAATGCTTTGCTGAG